TGTGTGAACTGATTATCAAATCTCACTTGCAAATTCATCAAAAAAAAAATCTTACTTTTGAAGCAATTGGATTGGATAGTAATTGTGATGTGTTTAAAGCAGACTCTGACTTTTCGTAGATGGGTTGGAAAGACAACTTGTCATGTTGAATTTCCTTTTATTGTGGATCTGGTGGCCTTCTATACGATGAATTAGCAGGTAAGAGTCAACATTAAACATTATAACGAATTCTTCGCTTAATATAATGTACTCCTGGATCGTGGTTGGTTCTAGAAAAATGGTCACACCCAAAATCTAATGGACATACATTTAGTAGCATGAGATCTTAAATATTAGCAACAAACCTCCTACCAGAATTGTTTGACTGACTGAGATTATTCATTTTACCATCTTAGCTTTGTTTTCATCTAAATCATGGTCAAAGTCAGGCAAATTTGTTTAAACACAAAAGAAATTGAGAGAGAGGCTCTCCGACTGGCCAACCCAACCACCCCACCCCTCTAATCCGGTTCTGCCAACCTACAAGTCTTCCTTGGCGGCTGGCTACCAGACCCTCCACCCCGGAACCCATTCCAGTCCTCCCTACCTCTCCTCCTCCCCCAAAACCAAATTCACAAATCCCATCCCAAACCAAACTCTCTCCCCTGAACCACCACTCCCCCAAATACCCGAAACTACCAACCCCAACTCTTTGAACCTTTCTCTTCTGTGCAGAGTCTCAAATATCAAAACCAAATCCTCTCTCTCATCTTTTAATCAATGTAGAGAGTTCTCTCTCTCTCTCTCTCTCTCTCTCTCACACACACACACACACATTTGTTTTGGTGGCGTTGTATTTTCTCTCTTTCCATCATCTGTGAATGTGCCCCAATGTGTGCAGATAGGTATGTATAGTTGTTTTTGGTGGCATATTTTTATGGCATGGATGATTGGGGGCCAATTTCTCTTACTTGCTCAGTGTGCCCCATTTTCGTTGAGTACCCTGCCTGGTTCACTGGGTTGTTAACCAAAACTTGTTCACTGCTCCTGCAAGCGTGGTGGTGGTTACAATGGTAATTTGAGTTTAGGTTTGTGGGTGGGGTGTGGGTTTGATTGGTTTTATAGGAGTACTAACTTGAAGACAAGTGAAGTGAATGAATCATGAATGCACGATTCTTATGGTACTACTTATGTAGACTGAAATCCCATAGCTCCTGGATGCTACATCTTGATATCAGGATTGTTAAACTAGGTCATTAGAATAATAAAAAAAAGTTGCAAAGTGTGAGAAAATTACCATTCTTGACTAGAAAGACTTCAATTTGTTGATTATACAGCCAACAACGTCCCACTTATCCCACCGTACATAAATGGGTCTAATCTGAATTTATGCTCGACAATATATCATTGAAGCAGATTGTTGCAAGGCATCTAGTTTAAAACCCTCATCCTGGTTTTAGGCAATCCAATTGCAACCTTTGTAACTGATGATTGTTTAGGGAATGCCATTAATTTTCAATTTCTACACACAGGCTTTGATGCACACAACTTCAATTCGAAAGAACCACACCCAGAAGCTCACTTGAAAAACAAAACATCATATCCAACATACAATTCAACAACTGAATACTCAGCAGCCATTGATTTGAATATCAGACAATCTGGACCATTTGAAATGATGTTGTTAAAAAGGGGAGACAAGGAGTATAGAACAGAGTCTGGTACGACGACCTGCTTCAGGTCATGTTGTCAACATTATTTACAAATTACAAGATAGTTCTTTTATTTACATCAACAAATATGTTTTTCACATCAAACAAACAAAAAAATGGACTGAATAATAATTTACAATTCCCTATAACTAAAACACTGTACATTTTGCACTATAGAGACAACAATTCTAAACATGACTCGCTAATACTACATGTAAATTACCATGTATAAGTTCAGCCTTCATGGGTCTGATCATCATCGGATTGAATCGCCATACCCTCTTAGCAAATGAGTCGTGTATGGGTTGAACCAAATTCAACATAACATGACTCTAACCCTTCACATAATCCACAATGCAACACGAAGTCACCATAAATGAGTTTAGCGTCCTCAGGTTCTGGTTGTAATCAAGTTGACCTATCAAACTCGCTTAATAAATGAGTCTTTTATCAGTTAAGTTAATTTTAGAGTCACTTGAAATGGCTCACTTGAAGGATACGCTTAATAAATGAATCTTTTAACACGAAATTGACACGAAGTCACCATAAATGAGGTTAGCGTCATCGGGTTCTGGTTGTAATCAATTTGATCCATCAAACCCACTTAATAAATGAATCTTCTTTCAGTTAAGTTAATTTTAGAGTCATCCCTTTCAGTAGATGACTTGAAGGATACGTTGTGGCCCTTTGAGTTAGCTCTTTTCAGATTTGGACCTGTCGTTGTATGTTGCTCCTTAGCTGTTGATGGAGGGGAACCAAGCTTGGGAGAAGATATATTACAACCCTGGAATTCTGTAGATGGACTTTTCAAAATTCCTTTAATTAGTTTTTCCGTTGGAGAAACTGCTTCTCTATTGGAATTGTCACCGGGAGTATCCCCTTTCTTTCCTTTAGATATTTTGAACCATCCTTCATTCAACCATGGCAGAGAATTCAAATTCTTCAAAAATGAGCTTTTTTTAGGAGATTCCTCTGTCGTTTTCCTGGTACCGTGACCCAACAATGTCATGGCGATCACAGTAGAGATAAAAAGTTGGCAAATTTCACCCTTGATCTGTTCATGTCTCTCGAAAGACGACCCCTTGGTTAGTCCCACCATTCTTTTAATCCTGAGAACTGCCTGCGCCAGCTCTGCTAGCTCGCATCTTTCAAGTTTTGGATCGCTAAGATGCTTAGCTGCCAAGTAACCTATGTCTGTTTTACATTTTTTCAATCCCAATTCTTCAAATGGGAACAAATCTTTCTTCTCTGGAATTCCAAAACCCACAAATTGAATCCTTTGATCAGTGAGAAATTTGAGGATCGGATCAGGCAATGTATCCCCAGAACAAAACCTGAGGATCACACAACCAGTTCCGAAGCACAAGAACACCAGAATGATGTTTGGATCACGAGGGTGGCGCATAACATCGAGGCCAACAACCGGTGGTTGATGCCAAACCTTGCCCTTTGGGAAAAGAAAATCCATGGCGCATAGAGATTCAAATTCTTTTGTTTTGAAGGTAATGCCTTCGAGTTTAACCTCAAACCGATTGGTTCTCAAGTACACTGTCCCTGCCATTATGCATGCAACCTGGTACAAAGAAATCTTGGGTCCTGTGCTTGAAAGTGGAGAGAGAATTACAAGAACAATATGAGCAACCTTACGCAAAAGAAGAGCCCGAATTAGATTCTGCCTGGCAAGAATCTAGATAGAGAAAATAGAATTGTGTTCACAGACGCTCAGATTTGCACTTTCAGGCAGAAGAAGATGACAATTGAGATTATGAGAATACAAAAAACCACACAACAGAATTGGAGCTTATTTATAAGGTTGTTGCAAATAGATTCTTTTTGTATTCCTTGGTCTTCGGTTCCATATATATTCATGTTACTAATATTGGGTGATCTTCTTTTGCTATATTTAGTGGAATTTTGGATAAATTTGGTCCATAAATATCTTAAAAAGAACGGCAGTCATTTGCGACGACAAAATTAGTGGTTCTTCACAATTAAGGGTTTTTCTTAATATAGGTTTCGGATCAATCTGTGCAACAAATTTCGGAAGGTCTTCATGCTTTCTTTGGTATGTTTGACAAAATTTGAAACCATAATGACTTTCATCCACAACTAAAACAACACTCCTTAATAATTGTTGCTTTTTCTATAAAGGGTTTTGGATAAATCTATACTCTGGAAACGATGATAGAGAAGAAGAGGAAGTTATAGAATCATTGTTTATATCTCACAGCTTTGTGCCTCTTTCATTGCTAGCAACACCAGTTATCTTCTTTGGTCTTGGATAATAACACTTTGTAGAGTGTAATTAAACCATCTATTCGTTCTTTCGGGGCCAACAAAAATACCCTATCGTAAGAGAAATTTCAAGGGGAGTGGCAACCCCATAACTATCTATAATTGTTAAAATGTCACTTTAAATTCAAAATTATTCAATCCAACAAAGATAGTATCAAGGGTTGAAAAATGACAACACTGTTCTTGCGGTGACAAATTTCCAAACTTTGGAGAGAGAAAGGAAGAGATTGCATAAAAAATTTATGAATTTGTTTAGCAAAATTACAGCAGAAAGGGAGAGAGGTTGAAACCAAAGTTAAGCTTAATTATATTTTTTTAATAAAAAATATTAAAAAAATGGGGAACAGAGAACAAGTTGAAGAGATTTTTTAGTATTGAATTAAGTAAAATGGCTAAGAAATAGGAAATAAAGAGTGGGTTAGTGTGCTCTAAGTAATTTTCTAGAGTGCTATATTAATAAAAAAATAAAATTGTAGTTAAACAAGAAAATCAAAATTCTATTTCGACCTGTAAGTGTACATAATCTTCATCACTTGGTGTATTCAAAGTTAGAAGTCAAGAGAGAAAAGCTAATTTTCTAGTTGCACCAAAAGTGTTCTTAGATCCACAACCATTATTTCAAGTATGTGTTCATTATGATTATTTAATTCCACATAATTGATTATATGAAAATCATAATTATTTTATATTTTGGAATTAGGATTTGATTATTTTTTGATCTCATGTCTGTATTAATTCCAAACTCTAATCAATGTTCATAGCTGCTTGCACCATCAATGTCTTAGGATCTCTTGCATCCAATGTCTTAGGTATGTACTAGTAAACAGAGATTTTAGAATGACCTTCAAATCCAATTGCAAAACCACCAAAACAGAGATCAATTAGAAACCAACAAGCCTGAAATGTCATTAGAAAGAGATCCAGTACAAATCAACATCAAGTGACCCAGAGAATTTGAAAACATCTATACCAGTAACCAACTGCATACATCCTAGATAGATCACTCAATTATCTTCAAGCTCTCTCACCCCTAATCCTCCTAGCAAGCTGCATATCCTTGGGCATAATCGTAACCCTCTTAGCATGAATCGCACAGAGATTGGTATCCTCGAAACAACCCACCAAGTATGCCTCCGCAGCCTCTTGGAGAGCAGCCACTGCAGAGCTCTGAAACCTCAGGTCGGTCTTGAAATCCTGAGCAATCTCACGAACAAGCCTCTGAAAAGGCAACTTTCGGATTAGAAGCTCAGTACTCCTTCTGGTATTTTCTGATTTCTCGGAGCAGCCACATGTGCCGGGACGGAAACGGTGGGGCTTCTTCACTCCTCCCGTCGCCCGGGCAGCGACTTCCTTGCCGTCCTTTGTGGCAAGCTGCTTTCGTGGGGCTTTGCCGCGCCGTGGGACTTGCGGGCAGTTTGCTTGGTACGAGCCATTGGAGAGAGAGGTGTGGTGGGTTTGCTGGTTTTTGGGTGATGGTGATAGTAGTTGTGTGGGGTTGAGGTGTTTGCGAGGGTGATTTATAGAGAGTTTTGAAATCTGTGGCGGGAGATTGGGAAATTTTGGGCCGTTGATTGGGTTATAATTGGGTGAATTTCTATCGACGGTTGTCGTTATATTTAGGGAGGAAGACGTGGATGGGTGAGGTGGTGTTGAGTTAGGTTTGTCGCCTTGCTATCCGACTGTTTTTATTGAGATTGAGGTTGAAGATGCGGATCGAGAACGTGGTCAGTTTGTCTTTATGAAGATGTGATCGTGAGCGTCCATTTGTTGATTGCGGATTGGTTGAGAGGAGATAACGCGGATTGCTGACCTGGGCGTCATTTGTGTTACTCTCGCAGCACGCACGATTGAGGGCATCTATTTGTATTTTTTTTTTAATCTAATATTAAATTTGGCTTTCCTCCGATATATAACAAAATTAAAAGATCAAAATTTTATTTCGGTGACTTGTTTCAGTTACT